CTCGCCCTCGACTTTTCGCGGGGGGGGGGAGGCAAAAAACAACCCCCGGAGGACCGTTTCGCGACGCCTGCTCGTTCCGTGTGTCCGAGGAAAACTTTGTTGACCCAGGGAGGATATAATTGGATCTCGGCAGCGTCGAGGATCGCGAAGTACCCCCGGAATCATCATCGACACCAACGGTAAGGGGAGAAACTGTCGCCGATCAAGACGAGAGGGTGCAGTCGCCGTCTCAAATTCGCTGCAGCAGCCCATCGACGCGATACCATGTATTTGCAGCTGCACGTCGGTTGGCACGGATTAACTTCCCCCCACCCCCTACCTGGCTCTTGTAGGCTACACATGTACGTAAGTGTGCGTGTTAACAACTGGTGCACTTGCGATGCGAAACTTGCGCGTCGTGTCCCTCCTCCTTTCTATCCGCGATGCGAGCAGAGTACACGCGGTCTTATCCCCTCCCGCTGCCCATATGTACAACCGGACTGTACGAGAGTACGTGCGGAGATCGGTAAGCCTGCAGTGCGCGTACACACATAGATCGTGTGGCGAGAGCCCGTGTTTGCCAAGTTTGGCTGCAGCGGTTCGACCAGGGGTTCCCAACGCTCGTGAGAGTGGTCTCCCCCCCTCAATTCGAGAGAAAGAATTTTTTTTTTCTTTCTTGCGGACGACGAAGCGATGTTAGTCGCCTTGACCTATTATTTTGCTGGCTGCTTTGACTCTCGGCCGTGAGAGTCGCGGTTTTATGGGACAGCCCTGCACGAGTCTGGCTTCTTTCGCCGTTTCCTACACTTACATGTGTACCTATACATAATGACTGTGGCCTCGCGATATTCTTTGTGTTAACTGAGAGAAAAAAAACAAACGAGCTTGATTGACGCTCATACTCGTGCATGCGTTTTGTATACGCGTACTTGAATCATTTCAACATCGCGAACCATGTGTTATCGGGATTTGTTGTTACTTGAAAAGAAAAAAATATATATATATATTGTTTTACACGAGACTTTGTTGTATATATGTACTTGTGTTCCAGCAGTTGAAATCGAGATCCAGAGTTAGCGAGCAGACATATTATACTATCATGCCAAGCTACAACGGGCCCTTTGAAAAAGTTGAATCTCCGTATTGCGTAATCCGAATGTACTCCTCTGATTTTCATGCTTGACGACTTTTTCCCAACTTTCAAATTGAACATCCGAGAGCTACTTGTACAACATACCCAGTCGAGGGAGCATCGATCCCCCCCGACTTTTCCTGATGCTTCTTCGCTTCAATCTTGCAATGTGCAGGGTCACGCATTTCGTTTCCTATTTTTTTTCCATACGTTCGATAATAGGTAAAAATAAAAAATAAATAAATAAAATGAAACATCGAGAAGCCGACCCATTATATAAAGAATAGCCAACCCCATCAAGGATCCTCGGCCACCGCAACAGCCACCTGTATTTATATATATATTATATGTGTGTGTGCACTGGAGGACTGGGTGGTTACTGGCAATATTGTTCCCGAGCTTTCTCAAGTCCCCGCAGAGAGTATCGGCTCTCTCGATCTTGTACGATCGAATCAAGGGGCAAAGAGATCGAGAGCTACTTCTGCAGCGCTCGGAAGTTCTGGTAATGGTCGGTGGGTAAGTATACACACAGAGAGCGATAGTGTATAATACATGTATAGCACCGGGTAAAAGCAGCTGCGATGCCGGAGATTCAGCGGAGAGAATTAAACGAGAGCAATGCGCTCGTGTATGTGTTCGAGTGGCGGGGGGGGGGGGGGGGAGCAGCGTCAAGAAGTAGGTATAAGAGGCGGAGGAGGAGGAGGTAGTGAAAGGCACGAATGAATGGAGTCGTTCTATCTCCGGAGCTCATTGTCGAGGTCCGGTAATGCGCTATTTAATAAGAGGGGCCCCGGCTCTTCTGCCCCTGCTTTTCCTCCTTCGAACAATATACTTTACCCCCCCCCCCCCAATCCGACCGCTCTTTTGCGCCTCGGAGACTCGAGTCGAGGACGCTATTATTACTCCTCTCTCTTAAAGCACTCTTTATCCAAAAAAATCGACTAATATTCTCGCCCCACAGGGTAAGATAGATGTACTTACCTCGGTGACGATATATTATATTCCATGGGACACAAGTGTAACACCTCGGCGTTCAAAGTTTTTGGTGCAGTATACGTATCACAGCCCAGCATCGCCGGAGTGCGAGGGTGTACAGTGGGCTTTCAAAGGGAATTAGATCGCAAACTTAATTTCGAAATCAAGTTAGCCCGGCAATAAGAAGCGCCGGATAGAGGGGAGCAGGTGGCTCAAAGGCAGTAAAACTCTCGGCCCAGTGGAGGTTTAAGTGCACCTCCAAGTTTTTCCAACTTCCATCCCCTTTTTTTTTTTTTTTTTTTTTTTCTTCTCCCCGATGGTAGACGGTAGTCATATTTGGAGATGCGCCGCTGCTGCTTATTAGTCGCTTTATACAGCTGCAAACTCCCGAGCGAACTTTATCGTTTATCGCCGGCTGCGTTGCCAGAGTTTTCCGTCGAAAAATCGTCTTACACGCCGATGAATACAAGTTTGGGGCTAATTTCGCGTGGAGTCGAAGCAGTAAATGGCCATCCGTCATTGCAAAAGAGGATTAAAAAAGGATGAAGCGGCGAGAAGGCCTCGAGATGGAAAGTTACTAATTAGCGGAGAAACAAAAGATGTGATCCTCAGCTGGTGGTGCTGGAAGAGGTCGTTTGAGTTTTCAACTTGGTTTGACCGATCTCCTCGGCTGAAAGGCGACCGCGAGAGCTAGCCAACTCGAACTCATTAGCCGCTACGACGGCTTTCATTGAACTTTTCTCTCTGTGTCCGCTTGAGTACTTTGGTAAGTTTTTCCGTGCAATTGCACTCGTTTGGTACTACGACGCGCAATAATTGCTGGGTGTGTCCATTTAATTTTTTTGAGCGCCTGCGCGAGTGTCAACCGGTTGGTCGTCGGTGCACAAAAGGCTCTCACTCACAAAGGCGGTAATACACGCGACGTTCAATATAACTCGATTATATCGAGGGATCGTCGACTTTCGTCCCTTAAATTACGTACCAAATATAATTACAAGGCGAGCATACCTACTTGCACTAGCGTCCAAAGTATACGTGAAACAAGTTAAGCGAGTCTCGATGCATGGGTGCCGTAGTTTAGTGGATGTACCCAATACTCGCAGGATAATGGAGAAACGGTGTTGTAGCTGGTCCCATCGTACAGTGACTACCGAATCCCCATTATATACACGTGTACAGCATGGCAGTGCGGATCGACGCGTTGGCCCGATCAATCGAATTCTCAAGTTTCGCGAGAGACAACTTTGGCCCCTCCCTGATTTTGTGCATCTCGCCCTTCTCCCATACGTCTCATGGCTTTATCTCTCCGATGTAGTTATTTTTTTTTTTATTTTTTTTTTTTTTAACAAAAAGACATTTTTGGACTCGAGCTTCGGGGAGATTTCGTAATTACTCTTTCGCCAAGCCCCCTCCTCCTCGGTATACTCGGGAGGTACGGATTTTCGTTGGCGCATCACCCAAGCCCCGCAGCAACGTCGCACTGGATTAAACCGAGTGGCTAATGCTCGCCTGCGCGCGTAAGAGGATTATTCGGGCCCGACTTTTTCGCGAGGGAGTAGGAAAAGGCGAGCGCCACCTCCTGCCACGGGGGGGGGGGCAGGCTTACGTTTCAGCTCGGTTGGGCCAATTTCGTTTGCCTCGCGGTGGCAACCTTACATATACATTTTCAGCCTCAAATAATATTGTGCAGCAACAAAAATAAAAAAAAAATAAAAATTTCTCTCGGGTTTCGCTCTTTTGATTGTGTCACTTGGAACAAAGTATGACGACGCTCGCAAAATAGAGCTCCAGAAGATGTTGCGGCCAATTTATGGCCACGAATTTGGAAAAATCTCACTTTTCGTCTCATCGTTGATAAAATGATCAAGCTTCTAATCCAGTTGAAATCCAAACAATTTCCAAATTGTCGTTTCCCCTGTCACGCGATTTTCTAGAGGTATCCCGATCACAAGTAACAGAGCAGTTTCCTCTTTCAAAGCAGTAGCAGCGGAGGAGTTAATCGAAAAAACGAGATGTCAGAGGATGGTATCCCTCGGTTGAGTCGTGCGTATACCCCGTACAGGTATGTGTGACACACAAACCAAATTCCGGGCAAACTCGGAGGGGTGTAGGCAGGCAAGCAGGAAGGAGCAGCGGAAGGCCAAAGTGGCTGACTCGAATCCGGTGCGCCTTCCCCGGAGGGAATACGGTCGAGTGTGCGGGGCGACGGGGGGGAGCACGGGAAGCCACGATCAGCGAAAAATAGGGGTGGCCCGCCGAGAGTTACAGCGGCCGTACACGCGTCGACCTCCTCCTGAGCTCTTAAGCCGCCACTATGTCTGCCGCACCGTTCACCTATATAATATATACAACCAAAGTAGGCCACCACCGGCGAAATTCCCTCTGTGTGTGTGTGTGTGTGTGTAATGTAAGCACGATTTTCACGGGGCAACTCTGCTCTGTACATGTTGAAGTTGGGGCATCGATTTTCACATTTATACCGCGTGGCAAACTTTTCGAGAGCGCGTATTCCGAAACTTTTGTCGCTTCCGCCTGCCCTCGAAACTATAATATAGGTACCTCGCGGTTGCTCTCGTAGTTGTAATTTTAAATTTTCCCACTGCGCACGTAAATGTAACGCAGTCCCTTCGAAAGAGACTTATACCTTTTTTTTTTTTTTTTTTTTTTACTTTTCTCTTTGGGTGACAATGCAGTCCCGTAAATTTATGCGCATTTTCCTTTTCCTCGCTCGCTACTCTTGTATTATACCACTTTTGCGTGTAATGTGCATGGCTCGCGGGGATCAAGTTTAAGGAAAATATATATATATATAATATTCGGGGATTACGATGATCAAATATGGTGTAGTTTACAATGTAAATATATAGACTCCTAGCTAAACAAGAGAAAAACAGATAAGATGAAGTGCACTCACGTCTTGTGCCGAGAGAATCTGGGTGTTGGGCTGGATGATGGTTTGGCCGTCGGCCGAGTGTGGCCTGTGGTGCAGGGACTCGACCGTGTCGTCACGCGAGCAGACACCCCTATACCACGGCAAACCACTCGCCGAGCTGCCGCTGCCTCGCCTGCCCTTGTACTTTCGCCACACGTGCCTGCGAATGAGGAAAAAACAAACAACAATTGTTTCAAGTGCAACGCTTGCCTGGCTCCAATGGCCAATGTAATATGTACACTCGAAGAGTAAAGTTTTTTTTACCTGATGCCAAACGCTATTCCCAGTGCGACGATCAGAGGCAGCAGCGTCGAGATGCACGCCAGCAAGACTGTCTCCATGTCCGAGAAAGCCGCAAGTATACCTGTAAAAACAACAACAAGAACAATAACTGGAGTTTCAAAACACGCGAACGCATGAAAAAGCACAAGCTTATGTATACCGGCAAGCGGTATAACCCTGTGTTTTTCTCAAAGTTCTCGCAACGAGCGCTCGCCCCGAGGATTCTTCTCCCACGCACACAAGTACCAACCCCATACTCGGGACGTGCTCTCTCGAAAAGTTTAAAATCTCATTATCAAACTTTACCGTACAATGCGGGGTGTATTATACAACTCTTTTATTTTTCACTTGCATCCATGTTAATGAGTGTCTCTGTGTAGATGTATTCCTATAGCGTTGGTATACAGTCGGTCGAATCACGACTTACGGAGAGGGTTGTTTGTCGCGAACGGGTTAGTCAAAGGGACCCGAGACGGATAGTCGAGAGGATACTGCGGAGACAAGCAAAGGATGCCCGAAGAAGCGGGCCGTTTGTTTGCTCAAGCTGGCGTCGAGTGCGAAAGTCAAGCAGCACACGGGGAATCGTGCAGAGGGAGCCGAAACTTTGTCGGCCTTCCCTCCTTCCTTTCGCAGTGTGCCACCTGATATAAAGGGTGTTGCGGTCCGTGCACGGACATCCTGGCAGTTCAAACGCAAACTAACACTCGCAGGTACGGGGGAGCACCAGTCGGGGCTGCCACCGTGATTGAGCGCAAACACCGAGCTTGCGAATTTCTTCTCTGTGTGTTATACGCGGCGCTTTTCGATTCCCCCCGGGTACAACTTCTACCGCGTTAATTTCAAGGTTAACTTGACACCTTACTTTTTTTTCTCCCAGGGATGAAGAATATCGTATACGTCTCTCGTGATGGATGCATGACATAACAGTGGGTCTGATCGATGCTTGGCTCGTACTACTCGTTGGACCGGTAAATCTTACCGCATACATGTAAGTTTGGGTTTAAAAATTACGAATAATATTAACAATGCCATGTTTTATACACGTCAAGGACTTTTTTTTGTCACAAACAGCTCAGTTACTCCTCAAATGATGTGCAGACTCAAGTGTATACATATATCGGGACGTGCAGAACGAATGAGAAGTGGTATTAAAATCCAATCAAGTGGTCGAATTTTAAGTAAGAATGGCGTCAATGATTCGTTTGTTTCTACATTTTCGTTTGATCTCTTTTGTTTCGAAAAACAATGTCAAACGTAAACTGTCTGACCAATGACTGGCATGTACTACTTGAGAAGGTTCAACAGAGGCTGTGAAGCTAAGCGCACGTGGCTATGGCAGAACGTATTTCTAACTGTACAATATTGTATACTTTGAAAAATATTGTATAATGATACTGTGCTTTTATTTATTTACGATAAAATTAAAACGTAAAATGTGAGAAAAATCGGACCGAAGAAAAATTAGAAAATTACTTTTTTAATACCGCGAGAACTCGTGTGCCTGAAGTTTGAGCTCTCTATGTTGTAAGGACGAATTTACATAAATAAACCATCGTACTCAGCGATTCAAAGTATCACGAGTATTTTTTATTTATTGTGAGTAAGTTATTAAAAATTAACTGTATAAAAGGGTACATTAAAAGCTCAATTTTCAAACAAGCTTCAGGATATGTGCATTAAACTTTTGATTTACCGATGAATTTCTGCATCAAGGATTATAATTACACAAACAAACACCTTCGTGCATTAATACGATGCTCAAACGGCCTTTATCGCTACGTTTTATCGGTCATCAATGGCGCAGAGTTCCTCAATATACGGCACAAAAGAGAAAACTCGCGCAATCCAGAACAAAGCAAAAACGATCGGAATTCACGGGTGAGATTTTTTTTTTTTTTTTTAAATTCATCCGATAGCTCTCCGGTGTTTTACCACTATTGGTGTGCTCTTTTTCCTACGTACAACTATTCACGCAGGATCGAAGCATCGCTCAAATTCTTGCGCATCGAGTATAGATTTCACGGGAGTCCGTAGGCTAGAATATAGTTTACTTGCACCGCGCTATGTAATATTCTGCGAATTTGGAGCTCTTTCTTATACAACGGATTTTTTCAACTAGTCGATATCCTGGCTCGTGATAGCTGCTGTACAGCAGAGTCAGGGATTATTAACGCGAAGCAGGCATATCAGGGCCGATGCATCCATCTGCTTTAAGCGATCTCGGTTTAATGACACACGGATGATACCTATCACGTACACAGCAACAGTTTGTTTGCTCGCTCGATTTTTTTACATTTTGATCAAAGCCGGAAAACGCGGCGAGTTGATTACAATTTTCTTTTTTCTCTCTCTCCCACTCTGTTGGTAAAAACTGTACTCTATAGAGCAGAGCATGAAAATAATTGGAACTCCAAAAACGCGATCATTCACGTGTATTCCCGACGTGGCACCAGTGATGAATAAGTACATATACATGTATGTATGGGAAGAAAGAAAAAACGAGCTGATGCGTGAGATCGCGTTGTGTGTCTCTCGTTACGCCCCGTGTACGCTTCCAGAGAATACAGAGAAAAGCAGCCAGCCTGTCCGTACGACTTGGGATGACAATTTGACAAATGACTTTGCGCTGTACGTATATATATATATATATATACACGTAGACGTGTGTACTCAAAGCGATAGCATATAGGTGTGGGGGGGAGAAGACAATATAATCTGTCTGCGGACGAGCGATGGGGAGGGGAGTATGTATATCCTCGACGCCCCGGTGAAATGTTATTAGCGAGGGAGACTTTTTTTTCCTCCCCTTGGATATACAACCTCCATACATTGATGCGCCATCATGTGTCTATAACGTATACAAACGCGTAGCCCCCCTCTGTTTTTCTAGATCGACGGGGAGAGCCCTCGTTTGCAACTTTGCCCGAGTTGCCGAATTACGACGAGCCACGTTTCGTCATCGCGATCCAAAATGGATGGGGGGGGGGAAAAAAAAATTGAAATCCGTTTCCACGTGTAATAGGAGGGAGGGGAAGGAAAAACAAAAAAGAGGGCGCGTGTACTTAGCATTCGTTTAGGTTAAATTGTCGGGAAAATTTGTAACCGAGGCATGGCCATCGCGTGCCTCTGTCGTAATGATCCGGGGTGCGGGCTCGTGTGGCCGGAAAGGCAAGTGTACAGCCTGGTGTTGCTGTACGAGAGCCAGCCTAGCCTGTGGCGCAAGAGCGACTTCTCCTACCTGAACTACTACGCGCGCCGATTGGCTTACGAGACGATCCACGAGGAGCTGTCGCCCGCCAGCCCCACCCTCGTCCACACGATCGTGAAGATCCGCGAGGTCCGGAAGGCGTACGTCGCCGAGTTGAGGAGGATCAGCGAGTCGAGTTGCGCGGGTAGAGTCGACGAGCCGCGGTATACCTGGTTCGTCGAGCTCGACCGCTTCCTCCGCGACAACCTCGACCACGGGGAGCTCGAGGTTTGTGTGTTATACCCACGGTGCGCAAGATCATATAATCACGGGTAGGGGAATCTTGAAGGGGCCCGACTCCAGCGAGGGCTGCTCGAGCCCCGGCTACCGAAGCAGCAGCTCATCCTCGGGAGCACCGTCTAACGAGCTTGTCACCGCCTCGTCGCCCACCCCTCCTCAACCTGCAGCCGCCGGGGGCACCCACTCGGGGTTATAGACGGCGGGATTGCGAAACGAGGGCTCCTCGAGTTTAAGATCCACGGCGTGGGTGTACCCTTCGTTAGGCGTGGAAAGTATTGGGAATCTGATTTTGTCGAGTGCCTCTCGTGCCTTGGACGAGGCTGAATATTTACGTGGTTGGTGTGACTAGTGTTGTATCGAGGAAATGTACGTGTTTGTCTCGCGTCCAGTGAATAAATATCTGTGTACGCGTTGAAGGGGTTTCGTTGTTTTTTGTGAAACCGGGGGGTTCGACAAGACTTTGGTGTAGGAACAAAAAATTTCACGCCCGAGCACATAAGTTTTTTTTTTTTTTTTTTTTTTTTTTTTTTTTTTATCCACGGCCATGTCGAGTGTAAATTTTCGCCAAGGTTTCGCGGACAAACTCCCGGTTTTTCACCGCGTGCAGAAAATTTTATGTTTCGCCGTGTACCTACCCTCGGAGATATACGATAAAAAGAAAAAAAAATCGGGTATTCTATTTGTGCTCGAATGCGACGAGTCGTTAAATCCAAGCAGAGTAGCGTAAATACAGTACGCACGTACATATAGGAATAGGTACTATACGAAACGAAAGTCCAAATTCCAGTCGGTTCATTATACGCGCTTATCGGGATGCACATTTTCAAAGGAAAATCACTTCTCTCCGATCCGCGACAACGACTCCTGCGAATACACGTGTACACACACGTACACACGTAGTCGCCGATATAAAACTCCCGAGAGCCCCCGACGGGCTTGTAAATCGCCGATAAGAGGCTGATGGAAAAGTCGCCCGCCGCAGCTTGGGTCCGCTCCACTTTCGCTGATCCTATCGGCAAAAATGAAACGGCTCTTCTCCTGCAAGCGATCCTAAAACGACCGACGATACGAGCAGCCAACCCCACCGGTTTTTCCAAAGATGCGGGGAATCTATGCACGTGTATAGGGGCTAATACTCTTTTTCCCATAAGCGAGCCGATAAAAAATGCGATGCTCCGTTTCACACGTGGGGCAAGAGGAGGGAAAAAAAAAAAAAACCACGACGAATAAATAACAACGATGTCGAGTGGCTAATTACTTTCGTGCGCGCGACCATCGCACGCGGATCGATCGTTCAAATACGCGAGATGGGTTTTTTTTTCCAGAGAGAAAAATGATAAACAAAAACAAAAAGGTAAAATTAACTCGATGCGTATTCGAGATTTTTTTTTTGGTGCCGGAAAAAAGCTGCTGACGGTTCTGTACTTGTAAATACAGCTACACCCATCGACGAAGCAACAACAATGCGCTTAATGGCTCGGAAACGGTACAGCCCCTGCTTGTGTACCCGCAATACGATTTCGGAGGCTTGGGAGTATCGGCTTTTGTTGCGTAACACAATATCCTGCGGAGAGCAGCCAAGATTTGTCCTCGTCATTATTGTCTTTGCGAGTGACAGCGCGTGCAAATGATATATATAGTCTTGAAAGAGAGAGAGAGAGAAAATGAAGACTCACTGTATTCGAGGTCGTCGGCCTCGGGTAGATAGGGTGGGGTCGAGTTGTGCTGTTGGAGGTGGGCCGGGGGCCCGACTGCGGCGGCGACGGCACCGCTCGGATCGGTGGGTCCCCCACTAGCCGGGCCCACCCCCCGATTGCTGGTGTTGGGGGCGACCGGCTGTATCGCCGCCACCGCCGCCGCCCCGCTGCTGCTCCTGTTGCTGTTGGCCTTCACCGCCGACTCCTCGAGCAGCCGGCGGAGCATCGCCCTCGGCCTCCACCACCTCGACCGCGTTCTGCCGCACGAGCTTTCCCCCTCGGCTCTTACCACTGCTGTCCACCACCTCCACCGCGTTCTGCCTTACGAACTTGCCCCCTTGCTTTGCCTGGCTACTCACTCTGCAATTCACATCGTACACATTTTACATTTTACATGACAAAATATCACGTGAAACCAACGACTCACCCCAAATCTGCCGCCAGTCTCTCCTCTGTACCCCCGAAGGACACACCTAATCAAAAAAAAATGTGACACCAATTGTAAAGCCGTCGACTCGGTCAGCTAGCACTGGTCATCCTCCTGCCACTCCTTCAACACCGAGGCGCGGGCACTTGCTCCCCTACCCCTCGATTTCCCCCCCTCATTCCTTTGGTATAATACTATATACTCCTCGCACTAATCCAATGTACGTAGGTACACACGCACGCCCGACACTGATGATTAATGGCCCCCTTTATTTATTTTCCTTCGCACTATTTTGTAAATTATATATAACAACAACAACAAAAACACTCGCGCACGAACCACCAAGGGATATACTCGAATGAAAAACGACGCACGCTCGCACTTTTACCCGCCACTCCCTGGGTACGTATATATATTATGTTAGGTATGTACACCGATACCGATGTTTTTGGGTATATATATGGAGCACTCTCTCTCTCTCTCTGCGACGGGTGTTACAGCTCGAGGTCGGATCTCCCGCAAGCTCGACGCCCGTGGTGGTGGCGGGCGCGCCGCGGCAGGGGGACGACTGCCGGTGCTCCCTCGTCGTTGTACTCGGTGCCTCTCATTTTCTCCACCTGCAACCAACGCGTTACACGCTCGCATATTATCATCATTACGAGGGCTGCCTATCGGCGCTAAACGGCTGAAATAGAATTTACAACGTTAAATTAATAATGGGGGGTAAAAAGGAGAGTTAAGAGCACGTAGAGCACCGTCTCGGCGGTGAGTTCGCCGACCTCGTTACGTGTGGGAGATGCAGCTTTGGCTGGCCACCGCCCTATATATGTACCTGTGTGCGCTTATTAACTTCATTAGGCGTGTACCTGCAGCGCCGGCTTTGCGATTGATCGATTGATTGATAGCACCGAGTGACATTTACTGCACCGGCGCGTCTCTCCATACATATACGTATGTATTACCGAGTGATTGCTGGACGCGTGGATATATATATATATATTCTCTCTCTTTCGCGCGTCAACGCCAGCGCGCAGTGCTCGCCTGAAATTACGAATTTTCCCGCACACGCGCATCCCTTAGTTCGCAGTTCTACTGATTTCGCGCGCTGGTTATCCACGTCCCCCCTTTTTAATCTCGTCCCATAAACAAGATCGGTTCGATCAGTTTATCCGGTCTTTGTTATTATTTCCGACCTTCTTTCCCATATCCTTTGATGTGTACACCTTTGACGTGGTTTAAAAAAAATACTACCCACCGCGAATAAAGGCATTATATATCCGACAATTACTATCGCAATAACCATACGAGCCTATAACTATACAAGGCCATTTTAATTAACTCCGTTAAACAGACTTGATTTAATTACCTCGCGCATTTAGGTGTTTTTAGCTCGTTCAAAGCTTATATACGCTTCCGGTGTTACGATCCCGGTATAATTACAGACTTTGCGCTTCTGATGTAAGGGTTATACCTTGTATTAAGTACCTACATTTTTTTTTTTTTTTTTTTTTTATTCTTTCACGCAGGCATGTACACGTCGCCCTTTGTACATATTACTCATAGTACGAGTGACGCTGTAGCCTACACCGGTTAAACTAATCTCGGCAAGCTAGTCGACGACCTCGCGAGAGCAGGTACTCTATATTGTGCGCACGATATAGTCACATCTCGCTGCAATAATTTGCCCCCCGATGTAATAGACTCGTTTATTGAAATTTTCAGTTGATACTTGAGTGGGTGCAGGTGAACCTGTAGGTAATGATATCCATCCATCCCCCAACGATATAATGGAAAATCCTCATCTATGCGCGCTCCATTGAATTCGTTTGATAGCCGCGAGAGGCAATGTAACACAACTCGTACGGAGTGTGAAAACTCGCAGCATTTCTTGACGCCGAGTGCGCTTTCACCGGCAATTCACGCCACCGCTTGCTTCGGCTGGCTCTAAGCGTGTGCGCTTTTACCTTTCGCAGGGATACATGTATACACAAAGCTACCGCAACTACGTATAAATATATACATATAGGTGTTGCCACACGAGCAATTGGTGAGCAAATTGGTGGTTTTTTTTTTTTTGTTTTTGTTTTTTTTGTTTTTGTTTTTTTTATTTTTTTTTATCGAAACGAGCAAAGTTTTACTCGTGTGAGCGCGCTAAATTTGAAATCACGCCGAATAGTTCCGATCGCGCAATTACACGCCGAGCACGAGAATGTGATGAATGTAATTAGACGTGCGAAAGGGAGAGAGAGACGGATGTCGGGAGGAAAGGGAGGAGCCTAGCTGTTAATAGCCAAAACATTCCAGAGATAATAGCCTTTTTTTTTTTTTTTTTCAATCCCCCCTGCAGTCAGAGGCAGGCACATTATACGTTTTCCCTGTCTCTCCCTCTGTCTTTGCACCGTGTTTTTCTTGGGCGGCGTAGTCGTCTGGCGCCAGCGAATCGGAAGCGACGTCGTCGATTCCGGCGAATTTGCATAATCGAAATTCGCCGGGCGTGGAGGGAATACAGAGAGCGGGTGGTGGAAGCAAGTGGATGCAGGTATACGTTACATACACGTACTTACTCCCCCAGACAACATATGTCTACCGTGTATAGGTACACCTATACACATACAGTAGTCTTCCTGGGTGGATGTATTTACATGTAGGACATGAAATACAAGCTCGCGCGGGGTAAAATTTCGCCCCGTCAGATTTGGGAAAGTGGAGCTGCGACAACAGGCCAACCAAGGGGCTTGGGCGCTTTTTTAGCTCTTCAAGCTACATTAGAGTCAAGTGGCTCGGATAGCACGAGGTTGTCCATCGGAGTCAATTTTACTTGTACCCCCAACTGTGTTTGCTCAAAGTGGATAAATATGAAGGATTGGGTGGCACGTGCGGCACAAAGGGGGTTGAAGAGCAATATCAGAGCAGCGCGAGCGCAAATTATGGTATTCATTTGGAGCGACGAGCCAAGGGAGCTGGACTACAACTGTACCGATGTAATTATTATGCCGAACGAAGCTTTTTTTTTCAGGCGCTCATAGTTCCCGCGATGTCCCATCTGCTGTACAAGTACATGCTCTATTTATACTCGCGCTGTACATCTGCCTATGCGTATACCAGTTGTACCAAGGCACCTTGGAATTTATACAAGGGCGAGCTCTTTTACTTTGTTGGCGAAACGCGTAGGTATACATTGATAATAATTATTGGTACATAATAAAAGGTAGAACTTTGTAATCGCTCGTAATTGGCAGAAAAAGTGTGAATTACGTGCCCTTTTGTTTTCATTCGTTTTCACAAAAACCAATATTTATTTTAAACGCACCGTAGCGGATAATTGGAGTGGGTGTACCTCGTTCTTTCAACCCTTGATCAATTTTGCGAGCAAATAAATCTCTTGACGGGGCAATAATTGAGCAAACCCACGTATGTATACAGGTACGATACACCGATGATGAAAATCAACCGATTGCAGTTGATGATGAATTTCATTCGTTTTATTTTTATTTCATTTGTTCACGACCCATGTGTGCACCCTCTACTCTCCGGACTACAGGTGATGCATTAGATTTCATTCGGTTTCCCGCATCTTGGAGCTCCTTCTTTGTACATTCGTGATAACCTGCTTCGGACGGACCTCACGTCTCGAGCAACCCCGTGCCGGCTCCACCCTCTACCATACAGTTCCTCACTCGTAAGAGTGTATTAGGGTCCGAGGAGGGTAGAGATGACGCTGCGCAAATTCCATTGATATTGAAAGGTATACATATGTATACCTTCCCTCGTCATCGTTAAAATCTGACGATGAAGATCGTATCCTGCAAAAGCCGTTTTCATCGTTTTAACGGCGAATACCCATCACCTGTGTATACACAGAGAGGAGTCGAAATCTATATATCTGCACGAGCGACCTGCATGTGTATAACCCGTGACCTAACGCGTCAGCCCCGATCGCGATCAATGGCACGTAAAGCCGGCTACCGTCGCACACGTGCATGTACAAGTGCGCGAGCTGGACTGGCAAACGAACGAGTTCGCCGACTCGAAAACTTTCCGCGGCAATGAAATACGAGCTCGGAATTTTAAGTAGGTATACGCGCACTGTGCATGGGAGGGGCTGCCCTTTATCCTCGCCTATATATATACATACATACACCCTTGCGCTCTCAAGTTTGTATTATTCAAAAGTTGCCCTCGACGCGTATAGCTGCAGGTCTACATGCACTTATACCTCAAAGGATGAGCTCTTGGGCGAAAGGAAAAGGAGGAAGCATATATGTATACATATAGTCCCTACGCGCTCTCGTCATTGTATGTCACTCGTACAACTCGATCGAAATTGAATTTTCACCAAGTTATGCAGCATAATGATACTTGATGGATGCAGTACTAAATGATAACGCGTTTACCCATTGTGCCGTGTACGTATTATGGTACGGCATAACCATCACACAACGGCTGAAAGAGCTCAGAGCGCCACACTACAATACCCACCATTGTACACCTATACATATATACACTCGAGGGGTAGTATAGGTGGAGTTGGCTCGAGTTCATCAAGTTGAATGGCTGATGCCGCCTGCAGCTGCAGAAACGTAGTCGCGCGTGAAAACGCATCATACGCGCCGCGGGGTTTTTTTTACGAAGACGTGGCACCCGATCTCTATGATGCGTTATTTTTCTTCTTTTTTGCAATAATGAAAATTGGGCTGTTGCGGGTGTATTGTCATCACTAATGTATACGGCGCGTGGCAGGTCAGCCTTAGGCGCACCGATATAATCCGAGGGCCATTGTCGTGGTTGGGCTCTCGCGGGTGTTATATTGTGCATCGACGCGCTCGGAGTACGAGCGGGGGGGACGAAGGCGCGCGCTTGTCATTCCATTATGTAACACGAGAACACCCCCCCCCCCCCGAGGCGCTTCTCTGGCAAAC